GGGAGGCTGCGCGTAGCCAGACACGCGGGGGGGAGGGGAAGGCTGTGGGGACAGGCCGAGACACGGGGGGGGGGGGGGCAAGGCGGGAGGTATTGGGGCGGGGGGGCACCTGCAGTGGCTGGCGTTTGATCCCAGCCAATCAAGGTGCGGGAGGGGTATCCGCACTCGCGGGCGGGGCCCAGCCGTCCTCTCACGCAGAGGCTCCTCTGCCGTTACTGCCCCCCAAAGCCTCGTGCGCGCGCCAGGCTGCCAGCACAACCGCCGCACCGTCTCTAAAGGATGGCTTCGTCACGTGACGGGGGCGAAGCCGTTGCAGCTGGCGCCATGCCTCACTTGTCACGTGTTTCCGGGCCCGGCCAATCATTGGCGAGCGGCGAGGCCCCGCCCTAGTGGGAGGTGGGGCCGGTGCGGGTGCAGCCTGCGAGCGCGGTGCGCGCGAGCGAGCTCGGAGCAGACAAAGCGGGACCGGCGGCGGTGGCGGCGGGGCCTGGCCCGCTGGGCGAGGAGCAGGCGGAGGCCGCGGGGTGGGGGGAGGGGCAACAGGGGACTCCGGCCCGCGCTGCCGGGGCGGCGAGCGGGAGCGGGGCTCCTACGCGCGGCGGGAGGCGAGAGGCGAGAGGCGGGTGGGGCCTGCCGGGGCGTTGGCCCCAGTCGGCGGCGAGGCGCGGCCTCGGGGCCCGCAGCGGCGTTGGCGTGAGCGGCTCCTTCCCGCATGGCGGCTCCGCCCGGGGCAGGTGGCGCCTCCTGGGACGGGCCGTGACGGGCGGCGGGGAAGAGGCGGCCGCGGAGACCTCGAGGTTCCCGCCGAGGCGCGCTGCGCGGGGGGCGGGTTAGCGCCGCGGGGGCCGGCGCGGGGAAGCCCCGCAGATCGGCGCTGCCTGGGACGCCGTGACAGCGGGGCCGGGGACACAGAAGAGCCCGCTTGGCACTGCCCAGTGCCCGCCTGAGGTGGGGTGTTGGGGCTGCCAGGCAGCCTGGGCCAGCCATGGCTTTTACCAATTACAGCAGCCTGAACCGTGCCCAGCTGACCTTCGAGTACCTGCATACCAACTCGTGAGTATCTTGCCGAGCTGCAGAGCCCTGCCTACCATCCACTAGCCTGGGCCTGGAGGTTCCTTTTCGCCTCTGTCGCCTGGTGGCGCTCAACCCACAGTCACTCGTGGCCAGTCTTGAACTTTGGACGCTCATTTTACAAAGAACCGACGCCAAGTTGCCTTGCTAATCCAGAAAGGGTCCCCAGAGTCTTCCCGTCTCCAGGCTACTCTACAGTGTTTGTTGAACAGCGGCTTCAGCTGCATGAGCATGGTTTGTATCTTCAGTATAATTCAAGTCAGCTGGAGCCATTTATATCAAAACCAGATGAAACTCAACGGTGGATCTTAAGGAATCAAATATTTATGCCGCTGCCAGCTACTTTTCTTGATCAAACAATCCAACAGCAACAGAAAGGCATTATCCTTTAGAGGTGTCTTCAAGAAAGAAAACAAAACAGTTGAAAGCAATTTGCAAGAAGGATGTTCTTTGTGTCTGATTGTGTTTGATTTTCTCCCAAAAATAACTTGTATGCTGAGGAAACTGATATTAGTCTTTCCCCTGAAGGTTCTGTAGATCTCAGGGTAAGGAAGACATGGAATAATTTTTGCACATACATTGTGCCTTTCACTCAAGGATCACAAAGCACTTACAAATATTAAGTATCACAACACCTCTAAGAGGTAGGTAGGTATTCTACCCATTGTAAAGATGGGTAAACAGAGGCACAGAGAGATGACATGACATGTATGAGATCATATGTCAGTAGCAAAACTGGGAATAGAATCCAAGAGTCTTAACACTTAGGCCCCTGCTTTAAATACGATATGCGCTCTCTCACTGGAGCATTTATTAACAAAGGGACTTTTTTTGTGTATCTGCTTATATGTGTAGTGTTTTAGAAAAATATAGGTACTTTACCTAAATATCTGATATTGTAGGATAGCTGTTGGAAAGTGCAGTACGTGGAGAGAGATTGGAAAAAAGTGGACTTCCTAGGGTTTATAGAATGTGCTTTTCTGTAGAGTGATTTGCTATGAGAAATCATTCTCTTGTTCCCTCTTTCTCGGTAATGGCTGTTTCTCCTTTATAACGTTTTGTTTGGCTAACACTTGCATGTTTTGTTCAGTTGTATTTTTAAATATAAGTTTCCTTTCTGCTCCCAATTGGCTATCAGGGATTGTTGTGTTTTAGTACAGTGTATTGGAAGTCCAGAAAAAGAAAATGTTCTGATAGAGCCAAAGAGATTCAGCTGTTTTTGAGTTTGGCTATTTTCATCTAAGTGTCTAGAACAGTGGTTCAAAACCTCTTTACCATTGTGGGCTGCATCCAATACTACCTGTATGGCCCTGAGGATGTCACATGGGTTGCAGCTCTGTGCTGACTGGTCCGCAAGTTGAGAATCACTGGTCTAGAACATACCCGGTGTTGCTCCTGGAGTCAAAGTGACATTGGTATTTTAGAAAAATCAAATTTGGTATACTGACACCTGTCGGAAACCTGCAGATTGCAAGTAATCAGCTATGTAATGCTGTCTAGGAGGGAGGGAATTCCATCATAAAGCATGAGATTTTGTTGTTGTTACAGTAATATGTTTGGGGATAACAATGCAAACTAGTGATGGATTCTCTGCATTCTGGTCAGTTGGCCATTAGAGGAACCATACCTCTTTGTCTTTTGTTCCCCCTTCTACAAAGGGGTCATAGTAGAAGAGTTGGCTATGTCTGCTTGTGTTACTAGGAGAAATACAGTGCAATGGTTTTGATGGTTTGTTTCCTCTGGCACCTTTTTCAAATACTGAGGCAAAATGGGAGTGAGGGAGCCTCAATGGTATGCTATGGCATCATCTGGCTCCTTTAGACTTCTACGGATAGAGCCAGAGCAGAGAACCTTGACTGAGTTTTACATTGTTTAGTTCTAAATTAAATTGTGAAGTTTTTTATTAATAGTACTGGAAGCGAGATGGACTACTTGGCAAAGTTTTGAGTATTTATAATGATTTGCTCTTGGCAAATGGGAATTATTTTCAACCAATGGATGATAAAAAAAAAATAGCAGTTAGAGCTCTTGGGCACAGGAGAAGATAGTAGTGGCACTATATCATCTGAGGGACAATGGTGCTGCGATTCCATTCATTGCTTTGCCCTATAACTGGTTTAGTTACTTTAAATGTTGTGTTAGGTCTTCTGGTTCGTGTATGAGGACTGGGAGTTGAGACTTCTGAGTTCAGTTCCTGGTGCTGTCATTGACTGACTAAGTGACCATGATGTCAAGTCGCTCCACCTCTATGGCTCAAGTCTTACCAATCATGAAATGATTAAAATATCCAAGTCCATGGCAAACTGGATCTAAATTGTGCTGTGAGGCCCCAAGATTTTGCAGTGCTCCAGTATGGCAGCTTGGAAAGTCTGCAGCATCTGCATTTCAGCTACAAAATGGAGACTTCTAATAAAGATGAGATTGACTAGTACAGTCATTACAGTGATGCATATTTATTTTTATATTAAAATAATTTTATGCTGTCATCACAGTTTCAGTTCTTAACATACCATGGATTTTGCAGTGCATAATTGCATCATGGAAGTTGTTAGGAGGGAAGATGGAGGTTTTGGAAAATAGGTGAGGCACAATTAGGGCTTTTGACATCCAACAAGGGATGAGAAACATGTTGAGATTGTGGGATAGGTACCTTAGTTGGATGTTTCTCCTAAAATGATCAATAGTAAAATCATTTAAATAGTGACATTTTAAATTTTAATCTGTTTCAGAATTAACTCTTTGAGATGAATGAAGCATTCATCTTTCAGAACCATGGTCTCAGGCAGTTGCAGACTGAGAAAGACACTGTCATGTTTTCATGGTTGTTTTCACAGTCACGAGAGCTAGAAACTTTTAAAATGACAGCTTAGATTTTGAAGCACAATCTCTGGCTGCAGAACTGAAAAATACATAGTTCCTGATTATAGCTGTTTACTTCTTCTTAAGTTTTGTCTACTGGGAAAATGAATCGTGGTTTTAAAAAAAACCCTCAACCCGGCACGAACTAGTATGTTTTAATTATCACGTTGCTAAACACTACTTCCCATTTCAGGTAGATTCATGTTTTTAAAAGGGTTAGCTGGTCACCATTAGCCATGACCTAAAGGTCAACCTTAGGGGTCATGGCTAACGGACTAACATGTTTTTAAACATCTCCTGGTGAGTTTGACAGCTTGCTAATTAAAGCATTTAAGTTGATATGTTTTTAAATATAACTCATCTTTCCAGTATAGACAAAACCTAAGAGTTGTATTAAGGCTTGTAAAAGACCTTTGCGATCCTTTCATGAAAAGTTCAATGTAAGGGTGAAGTATGGCTATTATAATTAACACTTAATTACGGATCCCTAATACAACAGATGCTTTAAAACTTTAATAAGATGGTGTTTTTTCCTTTTTTTAAAAAAGTTAAAATCTATTAACTATTAAAAGCTATTGAGTAACCTGGTATAAAATTATATTTTAAAATGCTTGAAATCTTTTAAAAAGAGATGAACACGAAAGTGCACATGGACCTGGTTAACTTGTCTCTGTATGCTTGAATGTGTTTGTAATGCATAGTTGGTTGAAACAATTTGTTAAAATTTGTACCACTAAATTTATCTTCGGAAATAAATCTTCTAATCACAGCCCGCGGTCAAGAGTTAATATTTATGGCCAAGTTAAAATGAAAGCTGGCCCTTTAACTAGAACTGACCTGTTAGACACAGTTAGAATGGCAGTCGTATATTTAAGAGGAGCAAAGTTTTATTTTTTTCTTCAGCAGCTGCTCACTAGATTTGAGAAATTAAAAAAAAATGCAGATTCTTTACCTATTAAAAATATTTTCTGCCTACAAGTGAAGGATACAATAAGCCAATGTATGAAGGTTTTGTTACAGTAATAACAAGAGAAGACAGCTCTGTTTGCTAACAGGATGCCGAACTCCCAAAGTAGAATTTGGTGCATTGCTGGGACCACCTTTGCTACAGAGAAGTTGACTTATCAGTCTGTGGTATTAATTAGGTGCCCATCGCTTCTGCGTACCTGTAGGATCAGGAATCAGATTGGTTGTTAGGTAGGATAGGGTACTCTTCCAAGCTCCACTCACAAAATAAGTCCTGTTCACTTCAGATGTTGCTTTCAATAGGCTGTGCAGATGTTCAGAATATGATCACACATGCTTTCCGGGTTCCTTGAATTTGGCTTCCTTTCAGCATGGTCTGAATACATCACACCCATGGCACTGTTGGGTTCCTTAGGGCTTGGCTCCCTCTTGGTGGTGCTCATTTTTGAGTGGGAGGTGGTAGTAATAGTACTTTCCCAAGCCCACCCTTTCGTGCTCTCAAAATGAACTGTCCCTCAGAGTAGATTTTGTAGATCTTCACAATATATTTCCTCTTCTTACTTGATTTGATTGAGCAGTGAAATAGCTTAACAATGAAGACACTTAAAGTAGAGACATCTGAGTAAATATATACACTGAGGTGAAAGGGATAGTTCACACCTCTCAGAGCTATTGTTTCAGACTCTTTGCAAGCTTGGGCAGATATTACTGCATCAGTTAGGTTTGATTCATGTTTTTTGACATGTTCTTTGCAACTGAAATAGCTCATGGGCTTTTTTCTGTACAACAAGAGGGCATCTTGGGAGAGAACCATTACACTGCCATTCCATGCAAGGATAGATGGAAGTTAAGTACTTATTTGTCGGGTAGTTTTGACATGGAGGAAGTAGGCATGTTGTTGCTATGAATGAAGAGATTCATTAATAACAATGCAGATCAGCCTCTTGGCTTGGTTTTAAAGTTAACGTTAGACTCTGGGGATCTTTAAGGTCATTTTGAGAAGATGCCAGTTCTGAGAGTAATAGTATATATATATTTTTATACATACTCCAAAGAAACCTACATGTTTATATGCCCTAGCTAGTGATAAATATTTTTGGATTTCATTTCACTCAGATTTAGCAAGGTTTCGTCTCTTTGCCTCAGTTGATATGAGCGGATTACACTGTTGGTAGGCATTCAGATACCACTGTGATGAGTGCAGTAGGAAAAACATAGTTATTTAGAAAAAGATTAATCATTCTGTCGCTCCGTAGATTATGGTGTGATCTGTTTTTTCAGCCCTTTCCTGTGATCTTTTTGTTTCTGAATCCATATTTACATCTTTTTAATTACACAGCAAAGCATATTCTCAAATATTTGATTCACAGAGTTGTAGTTTGAAGTGTTTTGGGATGTAGAGTCAAAGGTGCAGAAGTATAGTGTATATTAATTCCGACTCATGCATTTGCTTGTGGCTATCCACTGTATGGAATATTCTCCAGATATATTTTCAGTGGACTATGTTTGTGTGTTTTTGTAGTTGTCCTTAAACTGATAGGAGTACTGGAAATCTGTGCATGAGGGAATTTCCGCCCTTTCTGTGGATTTAGCTTTTCAGTGCTACTGGTATTCCTGTGTTCTGTGCAAATTTTAAGCTTTCATTCTAAAAGAAAATAAAAAGTTTCTAGCTCTTCTGGTTATGAAGAGAACCTTCCAAATGTAAACTGATACAGAGCTCTCATCCTTAGCCTGCAGGCAAACTGAAACAGTCTGAAAGATGTGAAGGGCTCCATTCGTATAAATGTAGTGATTCCTGAAAGCTAATATCAGCTTCTTCATTGCTGATCGCTTTAACAGAAACATCCCATCCTTCTGCACCTATGGGTACAGCCGGAATACTACTACTTTTATTCTAATCAGAGTTCAGCTGATGGGTTAGTTCTAATGATTTTTGTAGTGGATATGAAAGTTTAATCATAGTTATATGTCTGAGAGGCTCATTTGGACAAAGTACCTTTATAATTGTGTTCAGTGTTAGGGCTGTCGATTAATCGCAGTTAACTCATGCAATTAACTCAACAAAAAAAGTAGTCACGATTAAAAAAATTAATTGTGATTAATTGCAGTTTTAATCGCACTGTTGAACAATAGACCACCAATTGAAATTTATTAAATATTTTTGGATTTTTTCTACATTTTCAGATATGTTTATTTCAATTACGACACAGAATACAAAGTGTACACTGCTCACTTTATATTATATTTTATTACACATATTTGCACTGTTGCAATGATAAAATAAATAGTATTTTTTAATTCACTTCATACAAGTACTGTAGTGCAATATCTTTATCAGGTAGATTTTTTTTTTTTTTTTTTTATATCTTCACTCAAAAACAAAACAATTCAAAAATTTTAAACCTAAAAATCCCCTCAGTCCTACTTCTCCTTCAGCCAATCGCTAAGACAAACAAGTTTGTTTACATGTACGGGAGATAATGCTGCCCACTTCTTATTTACAATGTCACCAGAAAGTGAGAACAGGCATTCACATCGGACTTTTGTAGCTGGCATTGCAAGGTATCTACATGCCAGATATGCTAAACATTCATATGCCCCTTCATGCTTCGGCCACCATTCCAGAGGACATGCTTCCATGCTGATGACACTCATTTAAAAAAAAAAAAAAAA